CCGCGCTCGGTCCGCACTGCTGGAAGCACAAATCATAAAGCTTAAACGTGGAAAGAGTATTTTATTTGTTTATAAAGTTAGTTTAGTTTAGTTTAGCTTAGTTTAGATCAGTTCACTTAATTTAAATCTAGTTTAGCTTAGATTACATTTACTTTTTCTAAATCTTTCAGAGCGGTGCCCTGGTGGTGTGAAAGCAGGGCAAGAACCCAGCCAGAATAGGGCAGGGAAGACCTAACAAGGGGTGATGCTCAGTGCTGCAGAGGACAAGCAGCAAGTCCTGGGGGCAAGAACCCTTCTTGTGCCTGGCAGTGGGAGCTATAAAGCACTGGGGGAGAGCACTGGGCCATCTGTGGATCCTTTCTTATGGCTACACTACACTATCTCCCCAGAAGATGAGGACGGCGATCTCCCTGAAGACTGAAGCAGGATTTCCATACATCCATCTGTCCATCCATCCGATGAGCATTGAGTGTGCCCCCTCCAGGAGCTGGAACTGCAGCAGAGCACCTCCTGCAGCTTTGCAGCTTCAAGTGTTCCCTCCCTCAGTCCCCCCCTCACCTAATTCCCTGGTGCACAGCAGAGGAGGACAACGAGCTCCCCAACAACAGAAGCAGGATTTCTGTCCATCCATGCATCCATCCATTTATCCATCCGATGACCGTTGAGCGTGGCCCCTTTAGGACCTGGAATTGCAGCAGTGAACCTCCAGCAGCTTTGGGCAGTCTCCTCAGCCCCTCCAGCTAATTCCACCGGTACCTCAGGGAATTCCTCTCGGATAGCCTCAGGCTGCCAGCTCTGCCCTGGTGGCAGTGCCGGGCACTCTGGCAGTGGGACACAGGAGGGTGCTGCCTTATACTGCCCCAGAGCATTCTGATGCCTGCACTATGACAGGGGGGTGACGGGACCCCACAGCCCTGCCCAGGGCAGCCCTGCTGCTGCTGCCCCTTCCCCCAGCATCCCTTGGAGAAAGGCCTTTGGGCTGCTGGCCCTGAGGCAGTGCCTGTGCCCAGGAGGCCCAGGGGGATGTCCCTGCCCATGATGGCCACACGCTGGGCACCACTGCTGGGTGTCGCTGTAAATCAGTCTGTGTGTTCAGACTGTATCAGTACAGGCTCTTATACCGTGTACAGTCATTTGTGTGCGGCCATCCCAGAGGTGAAAGGCATTTTGGTTCCCTCTGCATGAACTTTGCAGAAACGTAGAGAGCGTACAGGATTCCCTCACCGTTCCTTATCAATACACCAAGTGGCATTTGCTACTAAGCTGCTTATGGTGAGGTCTTCTTGGAAAGGAGAATTTGAGGAATTTCCTCTGCGTTTTTTACCCAGGGTGTTTAGGTGTTTGCTTGTGTTTGTTAACATTCATATGTCTAAATTAGGGGCTTACCTCTTGTATTACTACTTGAACAAAACACTTCACTGACTGCTGCCTAATTCCATGTTCTTGGTAGCTCAGTAAAGTGTTTTGATACCAATTCTGTTTAAACCCCGTGGACTTAGCAGCTTTTCCCTGCAACACTCAGGGAAAATGAGTAACTGACTCAGTTGTGTAGAACAGTTTTAAAGCCCTCTGCTAAGTATCACCTCAGGGTACTGTATAGAGGGCGCACATTTAGAGATTGGCAGCAAATCCCTCCAGCACATTGGTTCAAATCCTTGAAATGCAGAATGACCGCTGGTATCTCTGCTATAGGCTTATTTCTTGAGTGCTCTGTCGGGGGGACTGGCCTCCCGTGATTCCTACACTGCAGATAGCCCCTCAGACCTACGTCAGAGCTTGTCATGCAGAACTATATTCTATAGCCCCATCACAGAAGGCCACCAAATTGGTCAGAAATGATTTCCCATTAGTGAAGCCCTCCTGCAGCAGGGGCTGAGCTGCAGGACCCTGTCAGTAGCTGAAAGGTGTCAGGGAAGCTGAGAGGGAGCTGGACTGCTTGCTCCAGGCCCAGAGTGGCTGGGGGCCTCAAGCTTCCCTCATAGCGCACCCAGAAAAGGAGGAGGGCAGTGATCCCAGGAGCTGGGAGCTAGTAACAGAAAAACAATAATGAAAAAAAAATTAAATAAATAGTAAGAGCACTATTAAAAGCAAGATGCTTCCTCCAAACCCTTAGTTCACCAAGCATCTCTGCAGGGGCCTAAGGAGGAAACACCCACCACCCCCAACGAACAACCAGCTGATGCACCAGTGAAGACGATCACTACTGGTGCCTCCAGGAAAAAGTCAGCGGGTCATAGTTGTGGGTCATTCTACTCTGAAGGGTACAGAGGCACTGGAACAGGTTGCCTGAGGACGTTGTGAATGCTTCATCCCTGGCAGTTTTCAAGGTGGGACGGAATCTTGGGTGACATGGTTTATTGTTTGATGTCCCTGCCCATGTCAGGGGGGCTGGAACTGGATGATTTTAAGGTCCTTTCCAACCCTATGTGTTCTATTATTCTGTGATAAAATGATTGAACACCTTTTCTCAGGAAACCCTGCTGCAGGTCCCTACAGGTAACTACTGACAGTTTATCAGGATTAGGAGTAAGTGATCAGGTGAACTGGGAGGTGATTGTGGGCCATTTTCTCACACAAGCTGAGAGAAATGTAAAATGTCAGAGAAAAGCATTAATAATGAGCTAAAAGACAAAACTTGGGTATGCTTTCAATAGGAATGACTGCAGGAAAGAGCTTTTTAAATATCTAATGACCTTTGGAGATATCTGAATCTAGAGCAACAGGGGACTGAGGACACGTATTGGGGCAAAATAGGGATTTGCCGACTTGCTGAGGGAAAGTCATGAGCCTCCTGAAGATTATAAAACTCTGACTTCACTGTTCATATGTGTCATAGAATCACAGAATAGTTAGGGTTGGAAAGGACCTATCCATGCAGGCAAACCAAAAGCCTTTAATTTTCAAACTCCCTCAGATTCAAAAAGTGCCCCATACTGAATGGGCAAAATGGAAAGAACTAAGGTGACAGGCCACTTCTGGGAAAGGCCAAATTCATCTATTTAAAAATAAAATCTTAGAATCATAGAATAATAGAATAGTTAGGGTTGGAAAGGACCTTAAGATCAAGTTCCAACCCCCCTGCCATGGGCAGGGACACCTCACTCTAAACCATGTCACCCAAGGCCTCGTCCAACCTGGCCTTGAACACTGCCAGGGATGGAGCATTCACAGCCTCCTTGGACAACCTATTCCAGTGCCTCAGCACCCTAACAGGAAAGAATTTCCTCCTTATATCCAATCTAAACTTCCCATGTTTAAGTTTTAACCCATTACCCCTTCTCCTATCACTACAGTCCCTAATGAAGAGTCCATCCCCAGCACCCCTCCCTATATGCCCCCTTCAGATACTGGGAGGCTGCTATGAGGTCTCCACGCAGCCTTCTCTTCTCCAGGCTGAACAGTCCCAACTTTCTCAGCAGATCTTCATACAGGAGGTGCTCCAGTCCCCTGATCGTTCTTGTGGCCCTCCTCTGGACTTGTTCCAATAGTTCCATGTCCTTTTTATGTTGAGGACACCAGAACTGCACACAGAACTCCAGGTGAGGTCTCACAAGAGCAGAATAAAGGGGCAGGATCACCTCCTTCGACCTGCTGGTCACACTCCTTTTAATGCAGCCCAGGATATGGTTGGCTTTCTGGGCTGCAAGCGCACACTGCTGGCTCATGTTCATTTTCTCATCAACCAGCACCCCCAAGTCCTTCTCCGCAGGGCTGCTCTGAATCTCTTCTCTGCCCAGCCTGTAGCTGTGCCTGGGATAGCTCTGACCCAGGTGTAGGACCTTGCACTTGTCATGGTTAAACTTCATGAAGTTGGCATCAGCCCAGCTCACAAGCATGTCAAGGTCCCTCTGGATGGCATTCCTTCCCTCCAGCGTATCAACCAAACCACACAGCTTGGTGTCATCAGCAAACTTGCTGAGGGCGCACTCAATCCCACTCTCCATATCAGCGACGAAGACTTTAAACAAGACCGGTCCCAACACTGATCCCTGAGGGACAGCACTCGTTACAGGTCTACCGCCGGATATTGAGCCATTGACAACTCTTTGTGTGCAGCCATCCAGCCAGTTGTTTATCCACCGAGTGGTCCATCCATCAAATTGATGTCTCTCCAATTTAGAGACAATGATGTCATGTGGGACAGTGTCGAATGCTTTACACAAATCCAGGTAGATGACATCAATCTGGATCTTATCTTATTTTGAGATGATCTGTAGTTTCACCTATGGATGAAACTACTATAGTTTGAGGATTTTTCCATTATTTTAAAATCGTAACGGTTTGCATTTTTGGAATAAACAGCATAAATTATCTTTTGTTTAAATTTGAAAACAAAATTGAGCTTTCATAGTCCTTCAGTCAGAACTAAATCAAGGAGGATTAAGCAGGGTGCAGTTCATTTCTCAGCTGTGCCCATTTGGCCTTTTTCTTTTTTCCCCTAGAAGGTTACGGCCTCTCATCTTGAGCTGACATTACACACCAAGTGGCGCTGAAAGCTAGGCTAGCATTTGTGGCAGCAGCTACTTCTCAACTAAATCCCCATGTTTACCTGGAAAAATGCCAATCATCCTCCAGTCATAATACCCAGATCTTGCAGCATTGGTCAATGACAATATTTACCAGCTTCAGCAAAAGCATCATTGAGCAACATTCTTCCAGGAGAGGTAACTTGGACAGTGGTGGCAACCAGTGCACCTCTTTTCCTTATGGGAGCCACACCCAGAAGCTAAGAATTGGGTGGGAGGAACTACTTTAGGTCTGGAAGCACCTGAAGTCCTGGAGCCCCCCTGAGAAGGTGAAGTTAGTGGAGATGGTAACAGCTTGACTGAAGTTCTTGCTGAAGTCTCCTGTCATCTAGAGTTTAGAATTGAAGTGGGAATTTGGCCCTCTGTCTCAAGACGGTTGTAAGATCAAACTATATTTTCCAGCAAGTCCCCTAAGTTCAGCAGAGCTCCAGTGTAAGAGCTGGGGAACTTGTCAGATAGCCCACTGAAGTGAAAAAAAAAAGAAGAGCATTTTAATAAATAAAATACAAACCAGAGTAATAAAATAAGCATGGTAGATTCAGTGTTATTTGTTTTCATATTAATCTTATGCTGCCCCACGAGTTCAATATACCACAGCTTTTTATATTAAGAAAACGTGCAACATGGAAAGTATTAAGGAAGTGTTGTAGAGGTTGAGTTAGAGGAAGATCATTTTTTTCTGGCTGTCTGAGAAGCTGTCTGGAGCAGAGGAATGTGTGTGTCAGCTGATTAAGACCACAGAAGTGATTAGCAAGGGAACCGTTAACAACGCTGCGTGTCAATGCACATCTTTAGGTTAAGGAGTTAATTGCCTCTCTCAAAACTGTGGTTTCTAGACTTCTGTAGACCTGTGAAGAAGACCCAGTGGCAGTTTGTACTTAGTCCACATTTTTCAAAATTCATTTCCCAAACACAAAGACTAGATGTGTCTCCTTATAATTCCTGCTGAGCATTTCAGTGTTGCTGTAAATGGCTAATTCTGTGAAGAACAAGGTAGCCATCAACTACCTGAGTCTTTACCCATCACCTCCCTTGTTTGCTACAACTTTCTGTTTCCAGGGAAGCTTTTCCTTGATTTATGAAGTGTGCTTCTCTGGAAGTTCAAGTGTGTGTACAACACAGCACCTTTCACCAAAGTGCTGATGTACAGCACCGCTTTCAAAATGCTTTCTCCACCGCTGTGAACAAGCACTTGACATTCCTTCCATTAAAGTGTCCTCTTCCCACCCCTTACCTCTAAACCTGGAGGAAGAAATTTTGTCCAAATAGATCAAGATTTTATAGACTGAAGGAAGAGAAAGACTTCTTCTTGAAAATACTTCAGTGTCTTCATTTCATCTACATGTGAGAGAGAAGCTGGAGCACATCTGCTTGGCAGAGTTGCCTGGACCCACCCTGGGCAGGGATGGCTGCCTTCAAGCCTGGTGGGTACTGCCTGGAGAGCTGCCCTGGGGGCCTGGGTGCTCCCAGCATCCTGTCTCTTGCCTGGACCCCAGGACTGCCTTTGCCAAACCCCAAGCCACTGCTCTTCACCTGAAATACTGAAGTGTCACCCAATGAGAAAACTACGTGGTCTTTCACAAGAGGAGGTTCCACACAATTTCCAGCTTTCAGAGATCCTCTGAAGTTGTCCTTAGCTGGATCATGGAAATCAGGGATGAGACACAGGCACTTTTCAGGCAAGACATACCCACACAAAGTGACTACTGCCCCTACCTACTGTCCCCCACTGGAGCTGCTGGGAGGACTGCACTATACTAACCCAAACTTGGGGTCCACAGGTATTGCTTACTGGGCTGCAGAACATAAGCAAATTATACTCAACAGAAGTCCTAGCTGAAGAGAGGAAAAACAGATATTTGTTCAGGTCAGCTCCTCAGCTCATATTTTGCTCAGCAACCTGTACACTGCAAGACGGCAATCAATCCATGATAGACATGATCCATAATCAAGTGGGTCTTTTCCTATCAATAACATGCAGGCACAGTCAATCCTACCTTGGCCAAGGCCAGCTGGTTCAGGCTAGAGCCCTACCCTCAGCCAGCCTTGAGTAAATTATTTTCCCCTCTAGCTCTAGGGCCACAAACACTGATCCATGCCGCTGCACCAGCTCACAGGCTGGGAAACAATAGAAGCAGGGCAAGCTTACAAGCTCTGTCCATGCCTGGAGAGAATCAGTCTTTTCAGATGATAGATGGTGAGAGGGACGGCCATGGTTGCGGACACTTTGTGCCCCTGCCAACCACAGGTTGTTTCAAGAGTTAGGCACCAGCAGGTTTAAACAATAGGCAATGTCCTTTGTGACCTCAGCTAAATCTTTAACCTGAGGAGAGCAGCTTTGGTTTGCACAAGCACCTACAGATTCAGATGCTTATTTCAGTATTTATTTCTTTTTAACATCTGGGCTTGTCTTCTCTAGATACGAGTTTTTCTTGAGGTATTCTGCATTTAATTATCAGCTGCGATGGAAGGCTTGCAAGCACAGCTGTTATTGCAACATTTCAGTGCTTTGACTTTCAGCCCCAGATGGAATGAACTGTGCAGAAATGAGAAATCAAGAGTAAAGCAAACTTTCTCAAACTTTCAAAACAATTTGATGTGAGAAACAGGCTGGGATGGATTAAGCAGACACAGAGCCGCTGTGGTGATGAGTCATGGTGCTACACTGATGTGACACCATGCCGTGGTTATCCTGCAGCAGTGCCAAGGGAAAGGGCTCTTCCACAATGGGTGGCTTGGAGCCCTGGCCTGCCAAAAATCTCCCTGCAGGGCTGAGTGAGGATTTGGCTCTGCCCTTATTTGGCCAAATAGCCTTAATTCTTTTCATGGATGGAGCCCATCACAGATAATGACGCTATTTGCAGAAGAAGGTATTTGGCTATTGAGTGTAAACTTAGGGGACGGTACAGGCTCCTTGGCTTGGTTGCTGAAGCAGTGCTATGGCTGTCACTGCAGGCAGGTATACGCATACGTGTATACCTGTGTCTGCCTGTGATCCCCACAGTGCCCCAAAGCTTGGACCCACTCTAACAAGGTGACTGCAAATTACAAGCATGTGCTTAGATGCAACTTCTCCTTTTGCTTGCTGCTGAACACAGTTTCATGACCTTCAAAAGTTTAAAAACTTGTCTGGGGGAAGAGAGCCAAAGTAGGATGGACACGTGCCTCAAAGACCTCCTCATTTGCTTACCCTTGACATCACCTTTCAAAAATGGGAGGAGCATGAGGGTGCAGTTTGGGTTCCTCCATGTGGCCATGTGGCCAAAGTAGGATGGACACGTGCCTCAAAGACCTCCTCATTTGCTTACCCTTGACATCACCTTTCAAAAATGGGAGGAGCATGAGGGTGCAGTTTGGGTTCCTCCATGTGGCTGGGTTGTCCTGTGCACTTAGCATGGCAGAGGCCGCCTGTATGGCAGAGATGTGCCTCCATTCACAGCCCAGGGCAACAGCTTTTGTTTCACATGCAAAGCTCACAGCCAGGGTATTTATCTTTCATGCTGGTCTTTTCATTAGCCCCAGCCTCTGGATCGCTGCCCCAGCCAGCTGTTGGCTGCTAGGTCTGGATTTGAAAGCCAGCAGTGAAGGTTGTGCTGATAGGTTTGGTGCCATCCTCTACCTGCAGTGAGCTTGTCTCAGGCATTCCCAGTTTGTGTTAGTATTTCAGGAGCTGGAGGGGCATCCCTTTCCTACCCCTTTCTTCAGACTCCTGCCCAGCTGGTGCCTGCCTGCCCCATGATGGGGCAGGACCCATCCCTCCGGCAGCACACACATTCTTCCTTTGGCAGAGGGAAGTGCCCTGGGCCAACGCAGGGAGGCTGGTGATGGGGCTCACCTCCCCTCATGCCAACCAGTTAAAACCAGGTGTCTATAAATAAAGTCTCCATTTGTGGAAGCCCTGCTCCCCACATGTCCACCACCAACACCTTGTTTCTCAACGCTTCTGCCTTTTGCCAGCACAAATGGCCTCACAGCAAGCCAAAGAAAGAAATCTGTTTGTGTTAAAAAGACTTTTTTTTTGCCAGGTTTGAATTTATTCATTTCTCTCCCTTGATTTGTAGCACAGGAGTCACAGGACATTGCCTGGAAGGAGGAGCTGTGGGCACGGGAAGGCAGGAGGGTAGCACTGCCACAAGGCAGTTTAAGGTCCAAGTGTGAGGTGCTGGAAGCCCTCCGGTGCTCACCAGCCCTCCGATGATCTTTATTCTCTGGGGACAAGCATCTGAGACCTAGACTGTCATCTGCAGTGTCAGTGGCAAATAATCAAACACCACAAGAGTAGAAACAGACTCAAGCACTTTTTCCTCTTAGAATTATCAAATTATTTCCTCAGCATAATATTTTATTAATGTAACTGTAACCCATTCTATTAATACCTTTATTCATGAGCGGCTGCCTGTCAAGGGCTGCCTGTCAGTGTACTGCTGGACAGGATGCTTGCTGAGAGGTTTAGCATCTTCCTCCATCAGCAGCACCAGTAGAGGTTTTACAGTTGTCTTGACACTAATGCTGAATAAAGTCCAGCTTTCTCTTGTTTCCTGGTCAGGTGGCTGCAGAGAAGTGGAAGGATGTCCTGGCTCCCTCTGTGGGGCCAAAGAATCCAGTCCATAAGCTTAAAGGAGTGTATTTCTGTGAAGGCAGGATTTCAGACAGCTTTGTGGAGCTCTCCATGTTGCCTGTGCAAGAAAATAATCTCTTTGGCTGGCTCATCCCATATTAGCTTCCCTATTCATCCCCCAGACTCTTGAGCCAGGGCCATCCATACTTCAGTAGTTCACTGAGCCTTGTTGCACCTGCCACACACATGTTATTAGGTTGCTGCTGATTAAATAATTCAATCTCTCTGAAAGGACAGTCCTCAGAAAAGTAGGTTATGTGCTGAGAGCAATCCTACTTGCCTCAAGGAATGCTGGTGGTACTGGCCAGCGCTGTTGGGTTGAGTGAGATTTTTGATGGAAAAAGTGTTGCAGTAACAAGCTGTCTTTGTCAGAAACACAGGCTGTGATTTCTGTGCCCCAGAGTGTTTTCAGAACAAAGATGACTGCTCCCTTGCCTCTCCAGGGCACAGAAACAAGAATTCTCCTTCATAAATTTTCCCTGTGGAAACTCAGCTAAATAATTATATAGGCTGATGCCTGAACATGAAATATATGCAGGGTACAATACATAAGCAAAATACAGCAAGGGATGTCTTCTAATTTCTTTTTTAAAGCTGGATGTAGTGGTTAATACAGATGTGATGTTCCCCTTTCTAACAGGACAATACTGACCTTGTATTAATCACAGAATCACAGACTGGTTGAGCTTGGAAGAGACCTCTGGAGATCACCTGGTCCAACCCCCATACTCAAACAGGGCTACCTACAGCTGGTTGCCCTGGACGATGGTCAGATGGCTTTTTAATATCTCCAAGGATGAAGACCTTATAACCTTCCTGGGCAACCTGTGTCAGCACTTGGTCACCCTCGCAGTAAAATGTGTTTCCTGATGTTCAGGGGGAGCCTCCTCTTTCAGGTTGTGCCCTTTGCCTCTAGCTCTGCCACTGGGCACCTCATATCCCAAACACTGGAAATTGTCTCTGAGAATGAAGCCGTGATGCTAGAGGAAAATACAGCTCGTGCGCATTTAGTCCTTTATGGCGGGCCCTTGGAAGTAACAATCACTGAACACTCCACCATCAGAAAGAGCTTTAGAAGAGAAGCTGGAAACACTTCGATTTACAGCAGCAGGATCTCCACATCTAGGCAAGTCAGTCCACCAGCTTTCATGCTCTGCAGTTGGTACCAGAGACAGGACAGGTTTGAGTAAAATACCAGCCATTTTGACACTTTTGATTTAGAATAAATAGAAACTGGGCAAAATAATGATGCACTCACTGAAATTCTCTTATTTATTTTGGAGAATGAAAAGAATAATACCGAAGCTGTTTGTTCGAGGCTTTTTTTAATATGGCTATTACTTACACATTAGATACAATGCTTTAGGATAGCAGCAATGCTGCTATGTATGTATCAACAGCTGAACAGCAGTGCTGCCTATTTGCTCTGAGTATTGATAGTGTTTCTTAAAGCTCCAGCTGCTGGAAGCAAGGGATTAAAAAAAAAAAAAAAAAAAAAGTAAGCTTAGCTGCTTAAATTCTGAAAAATCTGTGCCCAAGCACTGAAAAGGTGCCCTGGATAGAGTCAGGAGCCAGAAGTCACGTTAAACAAACTTCACATTTTGTTTTTAGTTCTTGCTGGTTGTAAGCCTACCTGTGATTTTGAAAGCTGGATCCATAAATTTCAGTCACTAGAGCTTGTAACACATTGGCCAACACAACACAGGGAAAGCAAAAATCAAACCCTTTTAGATTAAGTTGTTTTTCCTACTAATTTCTTAAGTCCCTAAAGAACTTCTAAAATTTAATTTATTTTTACCACTTGTGATGTGTATTGACTTTTGCATGTCACTCAACTTGGACAATGAAAAGAAATCAGCTTTTCTGAGTACTGTGGCTTCTTTAAATTACTGCTTTAAACCTTCCATACCTGCCTACAGTAAACTTACACATGCATTGAGCAAATTCACATTCCCCTGTAAGTCACACACTTCCCATTGTATTAAAAGATGCTTAATGAAACTATTGTTGCAAAGTAACAGCTACTAAAACATACATCTAGGTTGAGGATTAACATAAATAACTTGTGCCCTTCTAACAGATGAG